GGGTTAAAGATGCAAATGGCACCGGAATCTGTCCGAAAGGATCTCCCCAGCAAAAATGCCACATGATTTATAATATATAAAACATACTACATAGATAAAACGATATTACTGTTTCAAAAACAAAGTCAATTCTAACTCCACCCGCAAATTCACCAAAATGTGTATGTTGTGATATAATTTGACACAAATGACAGTTCTAGAGCTGTCAACATTAAAAAAGTCTAAAGGCCAAAAAAGTTAATACTGACAAATATGTACATATTGGTAGCATACCTTAATTGTGTAGCAGCATATGATTTTAGTACAAAACTTTCGAACAAACGTGAAAAACTTTGTGACAGATTTGGGCCATTAATACCTATTTGTTCGTTCTCGTTTTTATTTGTATTAACTTGTGAGTGCTGTCTGGACGATCTCTTTTTGTCTTCGGGTCCATTTTACGCTTACGAGTTTGGACAAAATGCTATCAGGCAGAGCAGTGAGCTCATAACGTGCCAAGGCTTTTATCCCCAGAGATTTGCACTTGTCTGGAATCGCGTAAATAACACTTTTCCGCTTGTGTCATACATTCCATCGTCACGATGACATTCTTCTTCTTCAAGTGCCGTCTTCGTTCCGAAGTTTGGCTATCATCAAAGCTATGCGTATTTTTGATGCTACAGATCTAAACAGTTGGTAATTGGTGCAATTGTACCATTCTCTCAAGTTTTTCAGCCATGAATGCCTTCTTCTTCCTATAGATCTCTTTCCCATTATCTTTCCCTGTATAATCAATTGCAGCAACTGGTATTTATCTCCCCTCATAACATGTCCCAAATATTGTAGTTTGCGCTTTTTAACAGTAAGTATCAGCTCTTTCTCTTTCCGCACTCTCCGCAAAACCTCCACATTTGTTACTTTCTCTGTCCAGGGTATTCTTAATATTCTACGATACATCCACAACTCAAATGCTTCTATCTTTTTGGTATCGATCTTTTTCAATGTCCATGTTTCCATCCCGTAGAGGAGAACTGACATAACGTAACATCTCAAAAGGCGAATTTTAAGTTTTAGACTTAGATCTCTTCCGCAGAACACCTTTTTCAACGATGACATTACATCTCTTTTATTATTTTATTAGTCCTAAATATTCTTTTATTAATCCAAATTACGGTAATATGCAAAATACCTGTGAATGAGTTCAAACAAATAACCAGAGAGGCAGAGAGAGATTTTTGGAGACGGAGAATACACATCACGATGCCCAATACACTCCTCCGGGGGTTCAGTACTGAACTACTGAAGAGAAAGATTCTTTTATTTTCTTTTATTTCTATCTGTTATTTATATTTTACGTTTTTCTGTGGATTCAGGGGTTAAATGAAGCAAACGTGGCGGGCTTATATAAACAGATCGTAATTTCTGGAACTGCTTACCGGTGCCGGAGAACCTACGCGTCGATCGAAAAGGTACGTTCGAACATTCGCGGTGCAAATGTATGAGTATTCTCGGCTTCGCCAAAGTCAGGACCGCGTTCAGGGGTCACAAAACAATATTTTTATTTATTGGCTGTGTATACATAGGACGTTTTTATTAGCCGTTGATTTTCTTGCGTATAATACAAGGCCAATTAAAGTTAATGAAATACAATATGATTTACAATAAGGTAATTGGCTGCAGTAAGGACTGTGCAGAACAGACGGTTTGCATATAAAAAAAACTGTTATGAATAGATTACTATATAGATATATTTATTTTCTTTTTTATCAGTTGTCGTAAGCCATCTATCATATCGCAAAATTGAAATGTTTCTTGTTAATTAATGCTGAAATATTGGTAACTGTACTCTGATAATTCAGTTTGCATCGTCTTGCGTGTGTGAACCGACGGTATGCAATAGCTGTGGTTAAAAAAAAGGTCAATTATCTGCTCGAAAATACTTTTTTAAATAAAATTTGTATCAACTCGACGGTAACAATTCGATATCTTTTCGTTAGAGTGTCCTATCGACAAAAATATAAATGCGTTTTAAGGTGAAGAGTGAAGCTTTCGTATGCATTTTTTGTATTTTGCCGCAAATGACGTCAGTTTCTATAAGGCTGTTAATTAAATAAACCTTGAGTTTGTTTTGCCATTTTTTACGATTCTCATGAGATCAATAAAATTTATCACTTCCATTGACCAATCACTATGGAATTTCCATTATTAGAACCTAATCTTTCGGTTTTCAGTTTTGGCAACAAATGTGTTCAAATAAACAAAAACGTTCTGAACAAAAATCAAATGTTGACATCCATATGGTTTTTTTGGTTAATTTTTTAATTAAATATATACCAATTACAGCAAAAGTTTTCACTTCAATGTAAAAGTTATTCAACTACTTTGGTCTACAGCCAACTCACTTTAAGCTAAAAAGAAACTCCTTGTGTGGAAATGTTCATCTTCGCTTATAATGTGCTTATGAGTTACTTGAATCTTTTTTCTGTTGGTTTTACAGGTTTGTCCACAAGCTCAATCTTAACTTCATCCTTAATCCTTTACAGGTTTGGTCATTCTTAACTTCGTTTTCAGCTAAACTTTCGTTTCGTTTCGTAAGAGCTATCGCTCTTAGTGATAGCGCTACTAACATCTGGAGTGTATGTTATTCTTTTCTCCAATAATACTACATCTTCTTCTTCTTCCTCTTTCTAAGCAATTCTGCTTGTTCATTGGCGGATTAATACTTCTATGGAAGGTTGTTACTCCATCTTTTGCGCGGTCGTCCGATACTTCTTCTGCCGATTGGTGACATCGTTTGCTATGTTGACGACACGGGTCTCCTCCTTTCTGCTTATGTAGTTATTCCATTCTTTTTTTTTCTATTTTGTGTCCATTTCATTTATACACAGTACGTATTTTCTTCTAATATCTTCACTTCTCTTTCGATCTGTCAGCGTATTTCCTGTAATTCTTCTCAGTACTCTCATCTCTGCCGTTTCAAGTAGTCTTTTCGTTGTGGCTGTGTCGGGTCTCTGAGGCTCCTTTTTTGAATAGTAGAATTCGTTTGGTATCCCATCTTTACCTGTTCCTTTTCTGTTTTTCAGGTTTTCAAATATTTTCCAAACTTGATGTAGATTTTTATTAAGTTCTTCATTTGTGGTAATGTGTGTTGTGTCCAGTTCTAGCGTCGTTTATTCTTCCTCTGCATACATCTATTTTAGGTAGTCAATCCACGTATCCTTTTCTATGTGTTTTGGTTCTATTGGTTCCTTTACCTCCAGAATTTACTGCAGTTTCTTTCCAGACCGTAAAAGTCATGTTCACTACATACTTGTGTTAACCATTCTCACTTGGCTGTCCGGACTTCTTAATATTTTTTGGAATATCACTGCCTGTGACTTATCTGGATTTACTGACAATTTTCGTTGAATGCACGAACCTTCCAACTGATTTAGAGCATCTTGTAAGCATCTTCTCGTCAGGCCGTTGTCTTTTTCTGTTTAAGATCGGTGGACAAACGCGACCCGTTAGCAACGGCCGGAGTATACCGAATACCATGCACATGTGGAGTGGTATATGTGGGAACCACGAAAAGACCCCAAACACAAGGATAAACGAACATAAAATTTTAGGACATATCGACAAATCAAAACATTGGATACTGTTTGAAGAAACGCAGATGCTGGATAGAACATCACAGTACTACCCACAGTTATATCGGGTAGCGGTGGAAATATATAAGCATCCAAATAATTTTAATCGGATAGAAGAAGGACTAAAAATTAACAAAACATGAATACCAATATTAAAATCCACAAACAAGAAAAGCTACAAACGACGACACACTCCCTCAAGCCGAAACCAAGGTGGGGAAGGTGAGTAGAAAATAAAAATATGGCCTCCGTAGTATAACGCGGCGTCAGTTTCAGCTTACAAGCGAAGCAGTAACATCTCCAGAAGATGTGAACCCCTAGTATTGGCGAAACGTCGAGAACTAATCTCAGAAGACAACGGCCTAATAACCCTAACAAACAGTTTAACAAGTTAGACGATGGCCGTGAAAGTCTAACGCATTTTATCTTCTCGTTAGGTTTGGACCCAGGTTTCTCGTTGATATTGCTGTGTCATCAGCATATAGACTCAGCATGGTTTGCGGGATGGTTGGTGTATATGGTATACAGAAAGAGTGATAGTACTCTTCTCTATGGCATCCAGCCTTAATCTTTCCGACTGAACTTTCTATTGGTTAGGTAGAACGAGAGAATGCATGTCATTACCTTGCTGTATGCACGTTGGCTCATTTTGTGAATATGCCCTTTGTGCCACATTTTGCTATTTGATTGGCGTCTACGAATGCAGTAGCAGTGTATTTCTTTTGGTTGAATCCCTCTGTGATGTATTCGGTCAACCTTAACACCTATTTCGCTGGAGTGTTCAGTTCTGAAAGCAAATTATGCTTCCGGTATCTTTTCTACTATTTTAGACTCTTTTTAACCTAGTTAATATTCTCTCTGCAACCCTGATTATTGAGAAGAGTAGGCTCATTGGTCTGTAGTTTTGAAGAAATGTTTTTTTTCCTGCTTTCCGAAGCATTATCACTTGTGCTTGGAATGCTTTCCAATGCTTTCCTTGGAATATTTTTTAGCGCCCTGTTTGTGACCCTATCTAATCCTGATGCTTTTGCTTTTAGATATTTAATAATTCTTTTAAATTTTCTGGGTACTTATTCCTATTTCTCCTTGGTTTCTTGATAGACGTTCATAGATCGAGAAAAAATCAAGTCGCCATGAATGAATGAACATGAATTTATTTGAATCGACAATTGTAGTACATTATTATAATGACTTTAAAATAATTTGTATTAATTTGAAAAAAGGCAAGCGATTAAATTTTTTATTAATATCAAAAAAATCTTGATTTAAAAAAAATCAACGATTTTTGATTTAAAAAAATTTTTATTCAACCCTAGTTTTAATTAAAAGAAACATTTCAATCATACATAGAAGAAACAGTTTCTTCATAAGTATTGTATACAAAATTAGGTAGCGATAAGTCCCTTTCGGAATCTTCAAGCGGTTCGAAAACGTCTGTGATAGATACCATCAGTGGTCCCACCCATAAATTTGTGATAACAAAAACCAAAACCGTCAAAGAAACCAAAAATGAAGAGAAGCAATCCAAAAATGAGAAAGACACTAGGTCGGATAAATCCGACAAGAAAACGGAAAAGAAAGAACTATCGGAAGCCGCGAAGATTTTCGCCAGAAACAAAGAGTATCGCATGGCCAACACAGTATTAGGAGTGCCCTCCAAAGACGCCGTCAGACCTTCACTGAAGTCTCTCTTCAGGTCTCCCTTGCAAAGTCCTCATTACGATGCCAAGTTCTTTGATTCGTCGCTAGTTTCGATGAAGAGCCTGAACTCGAGCAGCTCCACCGTAGATTATATTGGTAGTTCAGAAGATATTTGGGTCAAACGGCCTCCCAGTGAAATTAAAAAGGTACGTATTGAATCTTCTTTTTTATTTTTATTTTTCGTTGGCCAACATTGTTAATCTGTTCCTGAATAGGAAAATTTATACCTGTGATTAGAAAAATACATTACAGGGTTCTCGTATTGTCAACAACTCGTCTTCTAATTACATAGACAACAAATTATCACAATGTGTTCAATGGACAATTTGAATGGTGTACAAAATTGTAATAGCAAATTCAACTAAAAATTTATGTTTATGCAAGTAGAAAGATTGACTAGATTGACACCTAAAACTGAAAGTGCCCTCTTACATAGTGATTAAAAATTATAAAACTAGTAATTATGAAAAAAAAAAAAAAAATAGAACTTAATCAACTATGTGTAGACAAAGATATGTTATAGATTACTACATATCTGGCGGTGACTAATCTAAGATTCATATTGTTTAACAGTCGAAAACACGAACAAAAGCTAATATCGAAAAATGCTTGAAATCGTTTCTAGGATAGTAAGAGCTCATCATCATTGGCTCCAAAACCCATGGTGGGTCTTGGCCTGCTCAAGGATAAGTCTCCATTCTCTCCTATTCTTCGCCTTGGCTTTCCAGTTTCGTAATCCCAACATTCTCAAGTCTTCTCCATCTAATCCTTAAATCGTGCTCTGGGTCTGCCTCTCCTTCTCACTCTATCTATTCTTTGGTTATAAATATGTTTTGGCGGCTCCATCTTATTCATTCTCTCTATGTGACCTAACCACCGCAGTCGTTTTATTTTGATGGTCCTAATAATATCAGGTTTGTCATACAGGCGGTAAAGTTCGAAATTATAGCGTCTACGCCATAATCCGTCCTCCTGTACTCCTCCATAGATATGTCGGAGGATTTTACGTTCAAAGCATCTTAAACGTTCTTTATCACTCTTTGTCATCGTCCATGTTTCCGACGCGTAGGTGAGGATGGGCTTGATATGAGTTCTGTATATCACTAGTTTCGTTCTTTTTGTAACTAGGCTTGTTGTTAAAAAATTTTCTTAATCCGTAATGGGCTCTATTTGCCAGATATATCCGTCTGTTCCTTCCATTATTTTGGTCATGATGACCAAAATATGGAAGGAATGTCAAATTTCAAGAGAGATAAAGATGAGGTTGATCAACTGCTTAATATTCCCAATACTGACCTACGGATGTGAATCTTGGACTCTGAGGCAATCGGAGAGAAGAAAGATAGACGTCACTAAAATGTTCTGTTGGAGACGAGTGTTACGAATTCCTTGGACCGACCGTAGAACAAATAATTCAATTTTAAGAGAGCTAAAAGTTAGCCAACGAATCTCTAGTAAAGTCTATCTCCAACAATTAAAATATTTTGGGCATGTTATGGGGAGCAAACACAGAGAACATGGAAAGACTCATAATACAAGGAACGGTAGAAGGCCGAAGATCACGAGGAAGATCCCCAACAAGATGGATAGATCAAATTACAGGAATATGCCAAAGACCTATGCATGAATTAAAAGAAATAGACGGACAATACACGACATCACGTCGACCACTACACTCCCCCTGGGGGGTCAGGATTGAAGAGAGATCCGTCTGTTAATTTCTGCACTTACTGCATTATTCTGATTAATTTGCGAGCCTAGGTATATAAACTCTTACTCCTTCGAAAGTATATGTTCCGCTCGTTAGATCTTCGGGTTGTGCTGCTTGTATATAATTTGATACTTTCATATACTTCGTCTTACTAGTGTTAACCTCTAGTCCCATTCTTTTTGTTGCTGCTTCAAGCTCCTTGAATGATTCGACCACGTCCGCTTTTCTTCTTGCAATAATGTCGATGTCATCGGCGTACGCTAGTAATTGTACGCTGCGATTAATAATAATTCCTCTGGTTGTTATTCCAGATTCTTTTATCGCTTTCTCTAGTGCAATATTGAATAGAAGGTGTGATAGGCTGTCTCCTTGTCTAAGTCCTATCTGAGACTGGAACGTTCTGGAAACTCCGTTCTGCACTCTAACTTTACACTCGACTCTTGAGAGGGTCGCTTTCACCAATTTTACTAAGTGTACTTGAATGCTGAATTTTATCATTGCCTTGTACAGTGCTTTTCTTTCAACACTATCATAGGCACATCTCAAATCAACAAACAGGTGATGAGTATCAAGAGTTTTTTCCAGAGCTTGCCTTAGAAGGAATATTTGATCGGTCGTTGATCTTTCTTTACGAAACCCACACTGATATTTACCTATTATGTCTTCACAATATCCCTATAGGTTCCTATCGGAATAATGTAATACCTTATTTAATTTTATATATTTAATACCTTCTAAAGGTATTAAATGAATAAACGTTGTGTGATTTTTGTCATTTTTTATGATCTTTTATCACTTTCATTCACCGGTCACTATAAAATTTCCATTGTTAGATCCTATTCTTCATAACCTATTGCACAAAATTTCGGTTTTTAGTTGTGGCAGTAAATGTGAGGCATTATGCCTAAAAAACGCTGAATTTAAACTTTCACATTACAAACAATCTAAAATGATTAAAACTGTTTTTTCTTGATTGCACAAGTACATTTTTCGAAACTACACAACCTCAGCTACAAATTCCACTCAATACTGCCTTCGTGGGGGTCTTTCCCGTGAAGTGTGATCGTTTGAACTTTAAAAGTTTAAATTTTGCGTTTTCAAAAAAACTATATACGATGTGATCGGCCGTATTAAAAACCCTTCATTAACCAAAATTTATTCCACAGGCATTCTATACTTAAAACTCACTCTATAAACAATAATTTTGGCCACCGAATATATCTCCGGAACTACAACAGATAAAATTACGGGAAAAAAATTTCAAAATTAAATCGCCTAAGACAAGTTTATAGAGATTATTTTCAAGGCCAAATATGACCGTTAGGTCATATTATACATGGTTAACAATATAAATGAAACTTTTGCCTAAACATGCCAGTATTGTCTTGATTTTTCCACATTTTGTTCCAAATATCAAAATTTTATGAATACATATCAAAATATGAATTTACCAAAACCAAAAAGTATATGAACCAAATTTTTGCTCTGTAAACATAATGTACATCCACACACAAACATATTCACTCGAATTCAAGAGAGTACAATAATTTGAAACATATAAATTTGAGAACTTTTTATCAACTAGATGCATGCAGAATTGCAGTAGCTAAAACAACTTTTGTTAAATCGCGTATCTTTCCAATGACACTGTAGATTGAATACACATATGCAAAACCATGAAATTTTCTGTTGTAAAATGTAATAAATACCCGCTGGAACTGTGTTTTATTGTTAAGCGTATAATTCAATTGTTTTTGTAAGTGATACTTTGGAAGTCTTATGTCAGGTGACAGTTTTCTAAACATTTATTTTCTTTATCATTCAGTTTGTATTTGAAGTGAAAAAACATTTGTTCTGTAGAATGTTTAAAGAACGCCGCAGTTTTTTAATTTCGAATTACAAGGTAAATATTTCGCTGTATTTGTTTTAATTTTACAGTTTATTATACGGGGTGTAATCGACGTTTTAGTGATTTGTTTTTAAGGTAAATTAACATGGAACCAATTATCGCTGTACCTCGTAGATAACATTAGGTTATAAATAAATAGGGTATGAATATACTAGGACTTAAGTATATTAATATACAGGGTGAGTTTTTATTGCGACATCGGAAGATAATTACATTATGGTATAGAATATAAAACCTGTAGACTGGGAAGAGTATTTCAAAGGACTTTTGGTAGAGAATAGAGTCGAATTTCAAGAACATAGAAATCAAAACCAAGATAGAATTTTAATAGTCGGCTCGCCAATAAGATTAACAACAGAGTAAATTAGAAATGTATGTAAACAGTTGAAGAGGAACAAAGCACCCGGACCAGGAGATATACCCGGAGAATTGTTTAAGTACGGAACGAACAAATTGTACGAATGTCTTCGACAACTTTTTCAAGAATGCATAAACACAAGTGAAATCCCTACGGAATGGAAGATATCATACCTCAGTACTATACATAAAAAGAGTGATAAAAATAATTGTGAAAATTACCGAGGAATAGCTGTAACCGGATCTATGAGTCGAATATATGGAAAGGTTTTAAAGAACCGAATCGAGAGAGAATACTTAGATTATGAAGCAGAAGAACAAACAGGATTTCGTACGGTTGATAAACTATTGACAACATTTTCTCCTTAACCCAGATAATAGAAAAAAATGCCACGGAATCAAGAGATTCATATGTTGTTCGTCGACCTACGGAAAGCCTACGACAACGTTCAACTGAAGAAGCTGTGGCAGTCAATGGAAAGCACGAAAAAATATACCTCGAAAGTGCTTTAAAAAGATGAACAACAGGAAACAAAAATGCAGAACAATGGGGATACCGCTCATCAACACTATGGTATATACGCTCAACTTTGCAGACGATCAAGTAATAATAGCTCAAGATTATGACGATTTAAACTATATGGCACGAAAATTAATTGAAGAGTATGATATATGGGGTCTAGAAGTAAATAAAAAGAAAACCGAATACCAGTGCATTGGAGTAGAACAAAAAGATCTCATATTAGACGATAACACCACGATAAAGCACTGCTGCGACTTCAAATATCTAGGTATCACTATTTCACAAGATGGAACATTAGACAAAGGCATAAGAGAGAGAAATACTTCAGGGAGAAAAGCCATCACAATGTTAAACAGCATTTTATGGGACCAATCCGTCAACAAAGAAAATAAAAAGAGGATATATGAGACTATATTAAAAAGTATCACTTTATACAGCTGTGAGGTATGTCCACTGAAAGAAAGAACACTGTCAACGCTGAAAGTGATGGAAATGGATTTTTGGAGAAGAGCGACAGGAAGATCTAGAAGAGAAAGAATTACCAACGAATGCATTAGAGAAATAATGGGAATCAAACGAACAATCACAGATGACCTAACAACAAAACAACTTATCTGGTTCGGACACATACAAAAAATGGTTGTACAACGAATACCAGAAGAAATATTAAAATGGCAACCAGAACGAAAGAGAAAACGAGAAAAAGTGGAGCGAAGGAATAAATAAAGAACTGAGAGAGAGGACCATAGAAGAAGACCGATGGAACAACCGGACTAAGTGGCGATTGGAAGTCGGAAAACGGCGGAGAACGTTATAAACAAGTAGTAGTAGTAGTATATATTCAGATGCGTTCAAAACAAAGAAAGGACATAAACAGGGCTGCATACTATCACTATTATTATACAACATATATTCTGAATATATAATAAGAAAAGAGAAAAGTACTAGATGAATGTGATGTACAAATCACTATAGAAGGCAGAAAAATCAGCAACCTACGATACGCAGATGATACACTTATACTAGAAGCGAATGAAGTCCAAATGATTACCATCACTGAACGGCTAAGCCGGATAAGCGAAGAATTCGGACTTCAGATCAACACATTAAAATATGGAAAGACCGAACAATAACAGGGAATACTAAGCTCAGGTTGGCCAATGCCCTTATTTTTTCCATTACTACATACTTAACTGAAACATGAACATTCAAAAAAATCGATAAAAATAAGATCGAAGCCTTCGAAATATGTGTCTATTAAAGAATTCTACGCGTGTCCTGGACACAGCATAGTATCAACCTGTCATTTCTGGAAGAGCTTCATATAAAAGATACGCTATTAAAAAAAGTAAAACGAGCATACATAATTTATTTCGGTCACATAGCTAGAAGAACGGGGACCATGGAACTATTGGTAGTAGAAGGAAAACACCAAGAAGAAGGCCGAACACGATGGACAGACCAAATGAAAACTCTGGTGGAAAAATCCCTACATGAAGCCGTCCATATGGCACATGATCGCAGTCAATAGAGGCAGCAAGCCAATAATATTTAAAGTGTCACCACGCTCTGACAAGGGCTCAAGGAATAAGCAGGAGGAGTCTTGATACAGATCGAAATTTTATCGTCTTCCCTAAATACCATTTTCGCATACACCACCATATAATTCGAATCAATGTTCTTTCAAGAAGAAAGTACAACAATTCTATTTTTCTTCTTCTGGTTTATGTGGTCTTCGAAATTGTTTATCTTGATTGCGCAAACTTTCTATACGTTTTGATAGAGATCGTTCCAATACTGCATTTAGTAAAAATTGTTGTTTTTGTAGGAATTAGGTTCCCAACCTCTACCTCAAATAACCGTCGAAGATGACACACATCTGCCCAGACCCAGATCGGGAACTTGGGGTTCGAAGAACGATAAACACAAGTCCAAAGATTCCGAATCCAGACGGAAGAAAGATAAGGATTCTAAGAGCGGCAGCGGTTCCAGATCGAGCTCTTCGGAAAGACGAGGCTCCGTGGAATTGAGCCCGAAAAAGTTCAGGAATAGGTCAAATTCGGATGCGGGGAAGAGAAAGGGCAGTACTTTTATGGCTTCCATGAAAAGCGCCATGGTGGTAAGTCAATTTTTTTTAACATTTCAATATTTTACGATAAAACTATAATTACAAGTATGAAATCGACTATTATAAATTCATTTATATGCCAGGATACGGATTTGTCTTAGAGCCTTCAGGTCGAGCCCCGCTAAGAGTTTATTTAGAAAAGCCAATACACTTCTCCTCCTGCTACAAGTCTGGTAACTCTTTTTACACCCTAAAAATCTAAGAGGTATATATATATATATAATATATATAATATATATATATATATTGGATCTGAAGTTTCCGCGAGAGCTATATGTGATTTCAGTTGTTTTCCGGGTTTGACTCCGCGTTAAGTAATTGTGGTTTTTAGAAAAACCATTGTTTTGACGACGTTTCGGCAAGGTCACACTTGCCATTGTCAAGTCAGATTAATTCTGCTTCGTCTTGATGTTTCAGGAGAACTGATTTAAACTTAGCGCGCAGCGACCGCGAATATATATATATATATATATATATATATATATATATATATATATAATATATATATATATATAATATATATATATATTCCGGGACTATGTGACTAGGGTGAATTCGGCAATGTTGTAATGCCTTTCTTCACCAAAAATTTATTGCAAAATGAACATGGAATTGACCAGCAAGTTGAGAGCTGTTCTCAGTGAGTTCGGACAGCACACGGAAAATGCGTGCCTGCAGCAGTTTCAGGACGTCAACATACAACTGTCCAGTCACTTTATGGTTGACTGGAACATATTAGCGATGAATGAAATTGCAGGTACCAAAAAAAACGGTCAACATTGCCCTTAGTCGCGACTTTTACATTTTAGGTCTCTGCAAATTCTACTACTGCTGACTTTGTTTACGACTCTCAAAGGATCATACCTAAATATCGTCTCATCTCCAATGACTTGTCTCCATTTAATGTCTACCGTCGCTCTAAATGCAAGATAATATATTGTCATATATTGATTTTCGTGTTTGTTTCATGTGTATATGTTATAACATATTGCGAATAGTTCCGTTTTTGACGTACAACTCGAGAGATAACGCTCGAATGCTCAGTCGCGGTCAGAAGTGATCAGTGCGAGCAGGCAGTTGACATATGCCTCGGTACAAGAGTTGTCACGAGCTCTGAAGCTCCTTCACGCGAATCATTATCTACCGATTCATAATCATATATCTTCTTGAACCGCTTCGTACATTCAACTGCGTGTCTCATAATTTTCCTAAGATTTCCGCCGTTTTTCGCCAGGTTTTACTAAAAAGGTTGCTTGGAGCGTCACGACGACACTAAAAAAGTTACTTTCGAAATACGTATAAGTGAGAGCGCCCACCAAACTGACGTGGCATGTGGCAAATAGCAAGTAGCACGCGTTTAGCATGATACTTAAAATGTAACCAATGAAAACGAATGATTCAGCGTAAAGATGGGCGTTATATAACGTATTCGGATAAATAACACTATGTATTACCAATAAGTATTCGTTTTCTCAATAATAGGTTACAGCAAACTGCCTATTACTTTTGTCACAGTGTATTCGAAATCGGCATTCGATATGTTGACGTGACAACATCGAACGATGGGAATCATTAGCTCAATCGGTAACAGAATAAGATGGTCATTGAATTTATGATGAGCTATGAGCTTTATTAAGACGGAGACTATGTTTATATGATTTATAATTTATAGTATAGTAGTATAATATATGTTTAATGTTTATTTTTAACAACCATCAAACGTATGCAGAATGTTTATCACTCACGGTTGAAACAAAAATAAACTATAAACAGTAGAAAGTATTTGTTTATTGAAAAAGATAATATGATTACTACAAGAAAACTATAGCAAGCCAATGCGGAATGGAGCTGCTGCAGCTTGAGTAAATAGGCGACAAAAGTAATGGGTTACCGGAAACCTATTACCGTCTGTCACTATTACTACAAAGTAACCGTATTTTCCATGGCGCTTTAGGCACACCAAAATGACAGTGACGTCATTCTATCTAATCATTCGTTGGCATTGATTACATTTTATGTAACATACTAGACGTGGGCTACTTGCCCGTGCCACGCCACTTTGGTGGCCGCTCACCCTAAAACACAAACGAAATATGCTATGAGCTTCAAACTTTGATTGGAACCAAAGGAAGGTTCCCCTTTCCAGACGTATGTTTACAAGTGACACAGTGTTGCCAGTTTCCGAGTTATAACTAAATACCCGAAAAGTTACTTGCCACACTTCGTATTGAACAAAAATATTTATTTCTTGAGATCTTCTTATGCAACATTGTGTAATAGAAACACTAGCCTTTTGTTTTTAAACTGCTTCGAAACGACTCAAAACTCATTGTAATTAAAAATTAATATTTTTTGCTTTAATTGATTTTGAATGAACTTCAAATATAACACCGTCGATCTAAATTAGCCTTGTGTGTATTTTAATGCGTTTCTACATATTTTAACTGGTGTAAATAAAGATTTGTTTGTATTCCCGATATCCAGATCTGCTATAAACTCTACAAAATGTAATAAGCTAGCGTTAAAGATTATTTGTAGCCGATCCTATAAACTGATCAGTAATAACAGAGTTAATTGCCTACCTGTTGGTAGATTAGTTTTGAAGTCAGTTAATATGTTGAATGTTTGGTTGCCGAAAGTAGTTATGGAGATATTATATTGGAGTGTTTCTTCGGGAGTTTGCTACTAAAATTGCGATATCAAAAAGGTATATGGGTAGTCATGTAGTTTTATACAACTTTTTTTTGTTTCGTTTTAATATTACGCAAAGATTAAAATCTTCCGCTTAATCTTATAATTTCCGCTTAAGTTTCTATTCGCTGTGTGTAAGTACTTTTAGGGGTTACAAGAAAGGATCGTGCACGTGAAGCGGCAAAATAGGCGAGCGGTTTACCCCTCAAAAGACGCTTAGGAAAACAGAATATACCGACTAAAAATTATTTTTGCATTTACTAATGCACCAAACCTTTTTATTCGTTCTAATATATTTTTCCAAGATGAAATGTATTTTTTTTTTTAATTTTTACAAGTGGGGCGGCAATTTGTTATTTACAAAAATAACATACAAAAAAGCAATTTCACCAAATTGCTTCGGAATCACATTTTTTTAGGTGTTTCTCATCAAAGTAAACACTTTTTCTCTCTTGATAAATTTTTCGAAAAATGCTTCCTTTTCGAGTTATTTGCATTTTTTTGTTGAAAAAAATGCCTTAATTAGTGATTTATGGGATTTTTTCTCTAAAATACCTACTAAATGATTTGCAATTTTACAAATAGCTTTTAATTCTTTAAACCGTCGTAGTACAAGTTAGAATATTTGACAAGGATAACTGGTTTCTCGCTTAAAATGGTGGAATAATCTCGCTAAAAACGTGGACCCAAATATTCTCACTGGGAGAATGCACTTGTCACAGATATCTTCCGTATCAAAAGGATTGAGTTCTGCTGGGATTCTTTCCGTGTTTTCGGAACCTAGGTGACATGTTATGTTAAAGTATATTCAAAAATCTTCATACGCATCAGAACGTTGATAGTATTACAGCTTTTTCACTCAGTTTCGACTGTTCTTGGATAGTATTTACAGCTTTTTCACTCAGACTCGACTGTTCTCTGATAGGTTTTTTCGGGATTAATACCCGCAGTAGAGAGAATACTATGTAATGTGTACGCATTTTCCATTCTCCATTGTCGCTTTATTTGTATTTTTAGATCTCTATACTTGTAAATCTTTTTGTTGTATTTTCCACAACAATTAGAGTTGCTTGTCTAGTAAAAAAATAGACAAGTCATGACCCAAAATTCGCTAAGTTATGAAATGCCGGAGTTCTTGTGAGCGACATGAAATCGACTGCCTCGTATTCTCATGCAGGTCCTCACGAACAGACGATGATTTCACCAAATCTTCATTTCGTCGACGTACAGGTGTTAATTGATTGTTTCCTGAGTCAGTGGATTCAAATTTATTGATCACACTGAAGGTCCTCGCGGCAGGGTGATTACGGCGACCTTAAAATGGGCGAACTGCTCTGAATCTTGCCCAAACAGAAATACATATTTTGATTATTTGCACATGTTTGTTGTATACCTACTATATCTATCCATTTGGCAAAACAAACAAAATAAATAACAACCAATTTGACAGATGTAGCTTCAACATGGCGCTATCAACTGTCAGTGTTATCTACTGTTAAGTATCAAAAAGTTAGGAAGTCCTTATTGGAAGACCCTATTCTATTTTGTAATCTGTAAATTTTCAAGAAAAATAATACTGTTACGGTTTTCTGTAGATTCAGAATTAAGTGAAGCAAACGAGGTATAACTACCCCTATTTTCACTCCCAAACTCAATAAATCAAGAATATCATAAATTTTAATTACATTAATAATGGTCTACAATTCACACGGATATCGCGTACAAAAACACTTCTAGCGTTGAAAAAAATATTCTCGGCTTTGCTAAATCCAGGGCCGCATTCAGGGGTATAAAACAACAATACCTTTATAATTTATACACTATTTAATTTTTAACTGTCGATTTTCAAGAACAAATTAAATATCTTTTTCAATTTGTTAATATACTACTTCCACGTTTAGAAATAACATTGCGAAGATAGGGCCATGTATTTCTTATGGACGATAGCAACGCGGCGTCTGCCACGACACCACACAAGCACAATTTAGGGTTGTATAATTTGTATTTTCGTTTCCACAAACATGAATTAAATTAATGTTTTTTAACGTAATTACAAAAGTGCCCATTCGAACAAGAGATGAAAGTAGGGAAATGATTTTAATTAGATAAATAGTATTACAAAAAAAATTTATTTTATCTTATTTAATTAAGTATAGTAACGACAGTTTATTTGTTTTTTCGGTGGAGAATTACGATATGCCATGAATCATAGAAATCAGTAGAAAATATTGACCGCTTGGGTTTGGATGCGTATATTAATTACTAATTGCAACTTAAAATAATACGATGTGCGTATGTCAGCTATTTAATGTCGTTCTCTGGCTACATAATGATAATAAGGCTTTTATTTAGTAGTGATTCTGACTTTACAGTTAAATGTTAATTGAAAATGAAAATTCAAAAATTAAGCAAAGGGAATATCTTGGACATCCGTGCAAAAGAGAGTTTTGGCACACTGATTCTCCATAAGCGTAATGTTATTTTCTTAACTTGAAACGAAGAATAGTGCATTTTTAACTGTGATAATATACTAAAATCGTTCTTTGACCTTTTTAGCATACTGGGTTGATCCATGCGAAGAAACCCAGAGACGGATCCGCCCATCCAGTGCTAGACGACGAAAGCGACACGAAGTACTATCACACCGTAACAGCTGCAGCGTCCGTTAGCCGTAGTCCTATGACCAAAGTTATGGACATTTTCAGAAAGCCGCACGCACCCTCACATACTCCACCACCGGAAGAAGAAAGGGAGAGAGAGAGGGAAAAAGAGAAGGAGAAGAAGGAAAAGAAAAAAGAAAAAGTTAGAATTTTCTGTAATCTTTTTTATTTGTTTTATCCGGCAAGATCTGTGAGTTTATACTCTATGATCGACGAATTAGTATATCTACATTCATTGGTATCAGTGGATAAATATAATGGGATATTAGAAGCTTTTACGTCCAAAACAGCCTAAACTTTTTTCATCGCTTTTTGTCATTGTCAATGTTTCTGAAGCGTAGGTGAAAAGAGTTCTGTACATAAATATTTTCGTTCTTTTTAAAGACTATGCTTGTTGCATCTCGTTCAGTCGGCGAAATAATTATCACCATAATTTAGGGCCCTGGAAGTAAAGGGGTATAAGTGACAAAAGGTAAATTTTGAGTAAATGCCGTTCAAAGTTGAGTCTTCACTGTAATTGCCATGATTTTTTAATACTAGATTTTTTTCTCCAGTTTAGTAACTGTAGGCACTATTATTGCGTAAATGAGCGTTTCCGAAATGCCGTCAAAAAAGTCACTACATATCCTGGTGCAGATATTGGATCTGATCATCAACCACTCGTAGCAGATATTAAACTAAGGTTAAAACGAATTCAGCGACAAAAACCAAAAACCAATGTACTTAACTTTGACGATATAAACATAAAACATAACATTAAAAAAGAATTTAACAATAGAATAAAAAACATTGGAGAACAACTAGAAGATCCAGAAGAACTATGGAGTGAATTTAAAAACCAAGTTAACGAAATCTCCACAAACAATGATTATAGAAAAAACTTAATCAAGAAAAATAACTGGATGACAGACGACATCTTGAAATTAATGGAACAACGTCGACTGATAAAATCTAATGTAACAGAATATAGACACCTGCAGAGAAGAATAAAAAAGGAGATCAAATTAGCCAAAGAAAAATGGATGAGAGAAAGGTGCGACGAAATGGAGGATGTAATATCTAAACACGACTTATTTAATGTGCACAAAAAACTGAAAGAAATGAGTAATATATTTAAAAAACGAGTTCCCTCTGTACTTGTTGACACTAATAACAAAATTATTGTAAATGAGCAAGAAATAAGAAAAGAATGGCAGCTGTATATATCAGAGTTGTTTGAAGATGACAGGAATAATATTGTCGAATTCTACCAAAACTGTACTGACGGCCCAGAAATTATGAAATGCGAAGTAGAACATGCTATAAATAATGCTAAAATTAGAAAAGCTTGTGGTCCAGATGATACACCAACTGAGTTGCTGAAACTAATAGAGAATGATAACATAAAAGTAGTAGTAAGACTTTTTAATTCAATATATAACACCGGAGTGATTCCCGCAGATTGGCTCAAATCCATCTTTATCGCAATACCTAAAAAACACAATGCGAGAAAATGCTCAGAATATCGATTAATTAGCCTAATGAGCCACACTCTTAAAATTTTCCTCAGAATACTTCACAACAGAATTAGACGCAAATGCGAAGAAGATCTTGAAGATACCCAATTTGGTTTTAGAAATGCTATGGGAACCAGGGAGGCACTTTTTGCGCTTAACATCCTATTACAAAAATGCCGTGACCAAAGAAAAGATGTATTTGCATGTTTCGTGGACTTCGAAAAGGCATTCGATAAAGTACAGCATGTAAAATTAATGCAAATACTGAAAAATATCGGAATAGATGACAAGGATATTCGTGTCATTAAAAATTTGTACTGGAATCAAACTGCTATCGTAAAAATTGGAGATAACTACACCGATGAAATCCCCATACAACGAGGAGTCAGACAAGGTTGCATTTTGTCGCCAACATTGTTCAATGTTTACTCGGACCAGTTATTTAAAAAGGCACTTGAGAGACAACCATATGGAATAAAAATCAACGGGGAACTACTTAATGTGATTAGATATGCAGACGATACAGTAATTCTATCAGATAATATTGAAGGTCTTCAAATTCTGCTTGATCGTATTCACGAGGTAGGAGAGGAAATGGGCATTAAAATAAACTCAAACAAAACCAAATTTTTGGTGTTTAGTCGTGACCCACATCCCGATGCAAAGCTTCAATTGAACGGAGTCCAAGTTGAGAAAGTTCACAAAATGACATATTTGGGAACTGTGATAACGGACCAACTAGATCCAGACATAGAAATAAGACGTAGAATAGCAATGACTAAAACTACTTTTATGAAAATGAAGTCATTTCTTTGCAATAACCATCTCAGTTTAGAACTAAGGCAAAGAATGGTTAAGTGCTATGTTTGGTCTGTACTTTTGTATAGTGCAGAAGTGTGGACGCTAAAAGTATCGATCATGAACAAAATTGAAGCATTGGAAATGTGGGTTCATAGACGAATGCTGAAGATACCTTGGACAGCAAGAAAAACTAATGAAGAAGTACTAAGGAGCGTCAACAAAGACAGAGAACTGCTAAAGACTGTTAAACATCGAAAAATGTCTTATCTGGGACATATAGTAAGGGGAATTCGATATAAAATTTTACAACTGATCCTTAAAGGCAAAATAGAGGGCCGTAGAGGTGTAGGAAGAAAACAAGTTTCTTGGTTAAAAAACATTCGTGAATGGACTCAGATACCAAATGCAGGACAATTATTCCATATTGCAGAAGATCGAGAAGCCTTCTCAATGGTGATCGCCAACGTTGGATAAATCTGATATGGCACGCGAAGAAGAAGAAGGCATTATTATTATTGGTAACAAAAATCATAATTTTATTGACTACTTATTTAGGAGCTATTTTTTATGCTACCAAGTAGCACTTGTACCCTTTTATTTCTAAGAAATGCAACATAAAGGTAAGAAATGTAAAAAGATCATAAGTTTTTGTAGACATTTATTTTTAACCATAACTCTAATACATAATTAACTTACGATTCATCGACATCAGTATCATTGTTGACCATCATGTCGCAGATTTTATCAAAACTCATGGTAAATTGGAGGTACGTAGTTGAGTAACTGTTGAAAATTTGAATATTTAGCTTGCTTAATGAGTGCCTTTTGTCAATCGGTACTGGCAAGAGATCTGGCAGAAGTGCAGAGTTTTGCCAGCTCGAATGGGTTTCATAGATAGCTCTCTAAACTCTTCTACGATACCTCCAGCTGTTTTATTGTAAAACAGGGTTAAAGGTTTGTCCTGTTGAAAATGTAACAATTGCATGCTTTGTATTCCATTTATGCTCTTCTTGAAGTATGGCGAAATATTTCTAAAAAATCGTCATTTTTCATCTGAACTGTAAAGAACTTCTACTTGCAGAAGTTATCAGCTCCATCCAATGTTGAGGTACACACAGGTTTTTTTGGTTCTTTTCTTTTTTAACTCGTATCACACACATTCATTATAAGATTGGCCACTTATAAAAAATCGCGATGATATACTGTTTGAATATTAGTGTTTCTGACAATGTATCGCAACTGAGGACATGATACAGGTCAGCAGCTGTATCATTAGTGGCCCGTGGCTAAGGAATACCATTCCTAACAGGTGCGAGTACCACAAAGTCACAGGCGACAATCAAGTTGATTTAATCGGCTGTGATACTGCGAACACTCACCAACCCGTCGGACAAGGTGGTGTTTTAAATGCCAATATACCCCTTAAAACCGCGATGTCAGAATTTAAAACAAATACAGATTTACCCAGGTGAGTAGGATGCGTCCAAAATCTCACACTGATTTATCAGTCTGTCCCAAGGATTCTGGGGGGACAAAAAGCTGAATATACGGAAACCCAAAAACCCCATAACTCTTTACATTAGTACATACAATGCCAGTAGTCTACTGTCCGAGGAGAGATTCACAGAAATGGAAACTGAAATGAATAAAATTAAATGGTATCAGCGAAGTTAGAAATGAGAGGTGAAACTTTAAAAACACTGAAATCAGGGCATATACTCTATCAGACTGGCCCTGAAACTACATCAGTTGGAGGTATCGGTTTCTTTGACCATAAAAACCACGGGAACAAGATAATAAACATCCAAAGTATATCATCTAGAGTGGCATATCTTATTCTGAAGTTGAACAGTAGATATCATCTCAAAATTATCCCAGTATATGCTCAACAACAGACCTTACAGATGAAGAAATCGAAATATTTTATGACGATATATCTACTGCGCTTAATGATTCTCGTACTCAATTTACAATTTTATGTGGCGATTTCAACGCAAAAATAGGTGTAAAAGAAGCAGAGCTAGAAACATCCTTGGGAAAATTCGGTTCCCCAGGAAGAAATGACAGAGGAGAAACGCTACTAGGATTCCTACTCCAGAATAATTTATTCAACATGAACAGCTTCTTTGACAAAAAAATGCACAGAAGATGGATCTGAGAAAGTCCAAACGGTAGAACAAGGAACGAAATAGACTACATCATAAGTGACAAAAAACAAATAATTAAAGATGTAACAGTACTCAACAAGTTCACAAGCAGTGACCACAGAATGATACGAGCGAAAGTCCAAATCAACACAAAAAGAGAAAGAAACATAATGATTAAAAATAAATCTCATGGTATCTGGACACCCCCATTAGATATCAACCAATATCAGGCACATATCAATAATAAGCTACTACTGCATGAAACCCCCGAGAACGATCTTAACGACTTAAAAAATTGCCTTAAAGACTCTTACAAGAAAGTCACCTAGTGCACTGTCCTAAAAGAAATTCAGAGAGTAAAATAAGTCCATATACTGAAACGCTGCTAGATCAAAGAAGACAAATGAGAAGCGATGAGAATGCAGACAGCCACACTCTAAGAGAAATTAATAAAACTGTTTCGAATGCAATCAGGAGAGATTTAAGCAAATTTAAAACTGATAATATTAAACTTACTGTACAGGAAAATAACAGCTTAAAAGTTCTACGTAGAAAGCTAACGAATGGAAAATTCGAAATTCATCAATTAAGAAACAAGCAAAATGAAATAGAATAGAAAAGAGTTGTACGAGGAATTATATGGAAGTAGACGAGAAGATTAAACAGGAATACAAACATCCATTTCAAAGAAGATCGTG